GCAGTGGGGACAGCCAAGAATTCACTGGAGTTGAACTCACTTTTCCCCCAGCAATATAATTACAAAGGAGGAAATAAACACCCGCAACAGGCAAGTCAGGGAGTACTGCAACGTCGAACCACCCACTAAGTAGAGGACACTGAAGATGGATTCTGTGCAATGGAGTTTATTAACCATCCCGACCCCCCGGACTTTAGCATTTCAATTAGGTCATTTCAATCCGGAGAGACTTGTTGAAATTTGAACAATGCTTTATTATAACAGGTATAATATGATATTGCAAGTTGTTTGGGGCTTGGACTCCATCCTGCCGCAGGAAAGACCCGGGGCCGGGAACTCGAGCCGAGACGAGGCATATCCCCCCCTTGGGAGTCCAGACACTGGTGGTGGTGGTGGTGGTAGAGCCCAAGTTGCATAACTCTCCTGCTATGCCAGGTTCTGCTGTAGATTGGAGGTGTCAGGGGTGGTGGCGGGTCACCTTTGGAGCGTGCTGAAATGACAACTGACAGCACAAGAGAGGAGAACAGTTTTTAACGTTTGCCTGCCCCAATGCGATTGGTTAACGACACCCACGTCTGATACTACCCGACCCCGCCCCTAATCAGCTGGCCGTGCGCCCCCAGGGAGAGAGGAGGCCACCAGGGAACGGCACAGCCTGTCCAGTCTTCCTGACTGAATTTTCGCCTAAGCTTCATTTCTTTATGGTCTTTTAAATTGCCAGTTAATGAGACAAAACCTTTTGAAATAAACTGTTTGAAATAAGGATAAGGTTTATCATTAACATCCTCAGACTGTTCGGTAACAAACGTTTTAATCAAACACGCATTCTTTTGCTGAGGAGCTGAGGATGATTGCTGTTTCCGTTTTAACGTCAAACAGTCAGCAACAACATGGCCTCTTTTGTGACAGTAGAAACACTCACGGTTCTTTTGTGTGTGCGTCCTTTGGCCTTTTCAGTGGCTGAATGACCAGAGGTCAGGTCTGGTGGGGCGTAAAACAAAAGTTCTGTCAGCTCGAGGGGTAGATGCAAACACCTTTTTATGAGTTGGCACAAACTCATCTGCAAGGACAGCAGCCTTGGATATTGAAGACACTTTTTGTTCATTCAAGAACATCACTATCTTCTCTGGCAAAGAGCCTTTAAAGTCTTCCAACAGAACAAGCTGACAAAGTGACTCAAAGTTGTTTTTGACGTCACTGGCGGCACACCACTTATCAAAGAGGGTGCCCTTCTCCCTTTCAAACTCAACAAAAGTCTGACCATTAGATTTTCTGTGATTCCTAAATTTTTGCCTATAGGCTTCAGGAACGAGTTTATAACCACGCAAAATGGCCTCCTTTAATGCATCACACTGCAAACTGTCCTTTAAGGAAAGGACAGACACAACCTCTTGTGCCTCATCAGTTTGCATTGGAGGAGGATAGGCCACATGTCTCTTGCCACTCGAGTGCTGAGGCTATTCGTTAAAAAGCACTGAAATATAAATCAACTTCGCCCTCCTGAAATGCTGGCACCAGAGAAATATTTTTACTCACATCAAAACTTTGAAAAGGTGTGGACCTGTCAGACATGTTCAACGACCACTTTAGTCTTACTTCTTTCTCTGCTTCAATTTCTAATGTACATGTACCTGTAGGCGGAGATTATCCTCTGGTTTACGCACCGACTTTTTCTTTGGCCTCCAGCTGAAGGAGAGTGAGGGGAACCTTGAGCTTGGAACTTGAACTAACCCCTGAGATTGTTGAGGAGAGAAAGAGTCAAAACGAGGTAACGTAGCATGGTCTGCAGGAGGTGTGAATAGTGCAGCTGGCTCCTCGATGGTCTGAGACAAAACCCCTGCTGTAGTAGAAGAAACATCATTAGCTGAAACTTTACCCACAGGCTGGGCAGAACTAAGGACATTTAAATCAACTAGTTTTTCTAGGACCTGCATCTTGATTTCTTTCTTAAGTCCGTACTTGTGAACAGTATGTCAGTGTGCTGCAATACACAATAAATCATCCTTGCGACACACATCAATTTTTTCAAATGAGGGATTGTCAACTAAATCTTGTAAATTGAAACTCATTTTCAACCACATGCCAAACAAACACCATGAGTAATTTCCCATTGATTGTCAGAAGGAAAAACACAGGTTTATCCCGGACAAGCCCCAATTGTTACGTTTCCCTTTTTAAGTGGAAACAATAACGCTGACAACCAATGAAGGAAGAACTCAGGGACAATGTAAAGCAGTTAAAGAAAATAGATTCATTTACAATACTTAGGTAAAGTAGAGGGGGGGGTGAACTGTTGGGGTTGTGCCAAACAAAATAAGTACAATGAAATAGGGCCTAGCTCAACATTGTGTGGAAAGGAAAAAGAAAACAAAAGGCTTGACTCTCTTATCTACAAAAGTGTCCAAAAGTAATAAAAATACATTGGTGGCAACAACCCATAACCTATTGGAGTAACAAGTGTGTGTCTCTGAGTGTATTACCTCAGTACCACTTTCCCACCGCAAACCTTAATGGACAAAGTCAGAGAGAGGGAGAGCAAAAAGAGAGAGAGGCTTTATATAGTGTCCTCTGTCTCTGATTGGCTGAAATGGCCGTGAATGTGAGGGTTGGGGCCAGCCAATCCTCCACCTCTCACCTGCAGGACAAGGGTAGGAGAGGGCCAGAGAGAGAGACATACATGCATACAGCTCTCTTCACGTAACACCCCCACCCATACAAGTTCAACCAAAGGTTTGGACAATCATCTAATACTTCCTATAATGCACGAGACATATTTGTTCAGCTGCTGTTCTTTTTATTGACTGTATCGATAGATTTCCTCTCCCTTAAGATTGCAATATTACTTTTAGCTATAAGTACAAGGCTTAACCATTTTAGTCTTTTAATTTCAAACCGGAAAATGTTCTTTTCTCAGACAAAATTAAATCATGCTGTGGAGGGCAAGCATATCCTCCTAAATTAAATAAAATAAGAAGATTACCTTCTCCAACTGCATTTTCTGTTTTTCAATTTAAAGGCTTCCACAGTCAAGCGCAGCAGGTTGCTAGGCAATGCGAGCAGCAAAGGTAGGCAAAGCAAAGAAAAAGCAAGAAGTCCCACCGTAGGTCAGACCTTCCAATTTCATAGTCCTCTCAGTTCAGCCTACACTGAAAAAACGAACTTGGTGGTGTAGTAAAATATACTAATTAAACTGTCCTGATGTCTACAATTAAATTTTTCGTTTCTGCGGGAACTAGATTTTGTCAAGTAAAATTACATGTATGTACACAATTTATTTATGTATTTAAAATGGCTGTGTGGAAGGAGTAAGTCTTATTATGGATGTTTTCATAACATTTAAATGTTTTTTAGTCTCTGCTAGAAACACTAAAATACTGAGTAAATTTTACGACACTATTTTAGAGTGCGTTTGAATCAGCGCATGCGCATTGGGACAAACGAAAGTACCGCGCAGATGTCCATTGTCCGTCCGTTCGTTGGCAGCAGACAGAGTTGTGAATATCTCCGGAATCTCTCAGGTAAGTAACAGCTTTATCCATTAAATAATTTATTATCAGTTTAAAACGCGTTTTGGTGATTAGTTTGAAGCACTGTATGGACTGCACACCGAGCGGTCTACACCAAGGTTTGTGTGATGTAGCTTGATGCTAGCTAGCTAGTTATTAGCCAGTTCATTCCACCAGAGTCGCACACCGCGCGGTTAATTTGCGAGATACTATATCTTATTCAGAGCTATTGTATTTTGTCTCATGTACTGTCCCGTGTAGTGCGAATATAACACAACGCTACGCCAAAGTTTTTCGTTTTTTTAGTTATTGTCTATGTGCTTTCACCTCGAAACATCATCTCAACTTTTAGCATGGCGGCCGCGTTGCGGTGTATCGTTGAAGCTGCGTGCCACGGTCAAGAGACAAACACAACATGAAAATGGCTGTAAATGAATCTATAAATTATAAGTTGCCCTTAAAAATATGTGTTTTCATTCACAGGCGACTGTTTTTGTATTTAGCCGGCTGGGACATGAGGTGACCAGAGAGAGTCAGGAGCGCTGGGCTGTTCAGTGACTAATCAAATACTGCACCGTTGTGATTAGGCAAGTACAAATACACTGCATGTATGCATGACACAATATTGCTGTTTTTATTGTTCATCCATTCCATCTACAGATCAAGGAGGAGTTTTGGAGAATAACTACAATTTCTCTAGAGCAAAGCTTCATGTACAAACTAGACCACTATACACCAAAGCTTACTGCCCTGATGAAAGCCAAGGGAGGTGTTGGAGGCAGGCTGAGGCCCCATCTGGATAAACTGAGTCAGGTATGTTTGATGTATCTTCTGCAGGAAGACAGATCTACTGTGTGTCACAGTTTCACACACATTCTGCCCCTGTCCTAGACAACACAAATTCTCACTCTCTGTAACATACTTCTCCTTTCCACACATGGAAACAAACCACTGCTCCTTGCAAGTATTCGTATCTTCTGACATGATAGTATATTGTGTACAAATTATTGTTTGCAACTGATGCTATTACTCCTTTCACAGAACCCGAGCACTGACATGTGACGTGACGCAGTTATCAGTGGCCTCATACTATTCCTTGGTGAAAAAGAAGAGAAACTTTTCGAAGATTGCCTGGTAAACCACGTTTTCTTTCTAAAATAATTTTTTGTCTCTTTACTTGAGTACGATATCTATGGGTGATTTTAATATATTTTTTTGCACCAAAGTAGTATTTAACCACCAAATTTAATTTTTTTTACTTAGGCATAACTTTTAAATACGTTTTACAACACTTCTTGTAATAGTCTATAGAAGGCTGGTATTCCTACTCTTGAATTGTTGTCAACTAAATAGTTTTCTTTTTTCTTGTGAATTTCATGCAGGAGGACAATCGCAGTGATGCCACTCAACACATAGTCAAGATCCTGGTTGTCCATGGTACTGATGGAGAAGAACCAGTAGATGTTTCCATCATTCTTGAAGGGAAGGAGGTATTGACACGATGCAACAGCACAGCCAAAGCTTGCACGTTGCTAATGGGACTGATTTATTCCCTGAACCTTGCCTACCCCTGGACTCTGCGCTACACCTTTGAGGTGTTTCAAAAACTTTTCCTGGAACTGAATGGGATAAAGCTGTCACCAAAAGTACATCTTTAAAGTTGAAGTTGCTGTCTGAAAGGAGTTTTCTTTCTTAAATGTTCCTAATGTTGTCAACAAAGGCAACTGCTGTCATTCATGCTCACAAGGTAAAAAAAAAGTTAAAAATAACCTTTGTTTTAAAGGTTTTAACAGAGGATTTGATGTTGTCCTCAAACTTTAATGTTTTAACCGAATGCTAATATAAATATGTTAATGGATGTTGCGGTTTAGAATGTTGTTCATGTCAGTACAGCATATTTTGTCAGGTCAAACCCTCAATCTGTTTTGTCACCTGATGTGCCCTGTTTAGTTTAATGCGTCCAGGAGTCAAAAACATTTTGATTTTCCAGTGATATGCTTTTTTTCTGTATAGCGTAATGATCACTCAGTAAAGGTAAACTTTTTTCTTTATTGATGCTTGATTGATGCTTTATTGATTTACTGCTGCTGAGATTTCATTTAATTTTTTGTCATGTGAAATGTTGACTGCTGTTTCATGTACAGTTCTACATAGCTGTATAAAATGAGGTGTTACGTAAGGTACCTGACAAAGGTTTATGAATAAATAATGGAATTGTATTTTAGCCGTGTGATTATTAATAGTATTTGGTAATATTTATCAAAAGAGAATTTGCAACATTTACATAAATGAATTAGGTAATATAACTTCAAACAACCAAGTAATTAAAATGATCAAACAGGATAAAAAGTACTTGATAATTTTACGACAGTAAATATCAAAGATAAATAAAATCTACTCAATATTTTGATGTTGTAAATGTATATGTATACAAAAAATATAGTATATTGTACTTAATTTGTGTGTGTAATAAAAATTGAAACATCAGTTAAACTAAGTAACACTTACCTAATATTTTCACAAATGTTACCATCAGAAATAAGTAGATTTTACTTAATACTATTAAGGAACTTTTACTGGATATCACAGCAGTAAAATTTACTCAAAAATTTTGAGTGCAAATTGTTACGAGGATTTTTTTAAGTAAATGTTAATTGTCGTTTTTTTCAGTGTATGCAATGGTCGGAGGACCCAGCCCACATAGACCACAAAGCCAAGGTCCTCATGAGGATACAGCCCACCACAATGAGACAGCTCCATCATAGTCCAAGATGTTGCTTTAATATGTTACCATGCTAAAATAAAAGGTTTTACCTTCTTTAAAAGTTTTTTTCCAGTAAAATTAACTTTTTCTGTACACTGTGCCATGCTTGCAGTCTTTTTACTTGTTTTTACTCCTGGAAAAAAACAGCTTGATTCACTCAAAATGTGATCGGTCCAGTGATTCACATTAAACACGTTTAAGGGAACTTTAACGAGGGTGACACAATGAGACAAATTGGGACGCGTGAAAAAAACACAACTGGTAGAGAGAAAAGAGACAGGGCAGCGGTGGCAGCAGCTGAAGCAGGTGGAGATGGTGATGAAATGGCAGCTGGTAGTGGGATAATTGTACGCTCGCGTAAATGTCTTATCAAAACAAAGATGAGTGCATTTGTTAAGAGGCAGGATTTTAAATTTCACTTGTGGTCACGCTCAAGTTTAAGTTCAACTGTATCTCCTTGAACACTGTTGCAGTAATCTGACATTGGATGTATGAATGAAGATAAATCTCATAAATCTAACGGGATACATCATTTTGTTAGCACGATTCTCCCCTGGATGCATCTGCAAAACAGAGACTTTCACACCAACATTTGTTTGGAGCAGAAACCATCAATTGAGCATAAATCAAGCCCTCCATCTTATTTGTGATCATGCTAAACAGCAATCATAATATTGTTGCAAATGTGTAAGAAACATACCTAAAAATACCCAATTGTCACGAACGGGGCAGGCAGAGGCAGGATCAAACGCAGAGTTAACAACCAAAAAACTACTTTATTAAATCCAAAATCCCCCCCCATACACCAGAGGGAAAAAACGCAGACACGGACCAGGAACAGGCAAGACATTATGGGTAGAACATTCACATGCAGGAATTACATTCAATGATGCGACAAAGGACAAAAGACACACAAAATACACTGGTAAGGTACAGGAGATTGGATTCCAGACGGATCTAAAAAACACAAGGAACGGTGGGATGGGCAGAAAACAGAGGGTCAGGCAGCCAGGGGAACTCCGGCGGTCAGGCGGCGGAGGAGCCTCCGGGGGTCGGACCGGTGGGCGGACAGGGCTCGAGGGCGCCGTCTGCAAGTCACGTGGAGCCAGCTGCAAGTCACGGGGAGCCGGGCTCGAGGGCGCCGACTGCAGAACCCCCCCCTAAAGGGCCGGATTCCAGACCCTAAAAACCCTAAAGGGCGGGAGGGAGAGGACATGGGGAGGGCAGGGAGGGGACCTGAGTCGTGGAGCTGGAACCGGAGTCGTGGAGCCGGGACTTGCGGAGTCGGGGGAAGGGTCAAGCGTCGTGGAGTACTGGGGGAATAATGGCATCGGGGGCCTCCAGCATGGGAATACACACTACGCACACGAACACGCATACATGCCACCTGCTTTTTCCCCCCTCTCTGGTGTTTTAAATGTCACTGACCTGAGGGCAAAGCGCATACCACCTCAAGCACACATCAGTCTTCCACTGGGACACATACACACACCATCCCTCTAATCAAGTCTCAATGGGCTTCCTCGCTTCCTTGTCTCGCTTCCCTGTCTTCCTTCCAGGCTTCCTTTTTCTTTCTTTTTTTAAAATGAATTGGTGGAGGCCTCGAGCCATTGGGTTGGTACATCCAGTAGAGAGACTGGTAGGGATTGCTGATATTCGTTGTGACATTCACACTTTCCCATATCAGTCACCGTCATTGCTGTCATGTGACTAGAATGTCAGTGTAAGTGGGAATTTTAGAGTTTAGTTTTTATCACACTTTTTTTCGTTCTTGAATCTCTGGGAAACCTCAAACAGCCAAAGTTCATGCTTCATGCTAATTGTTTTTTATTGCCACCTTTAATATTTGTGCTCTTGTTTCATTCTTATATGTGTGCATGTGTAAGTTCACCCTCCTCTCATTCCCAATATGCCCACAGTCTGCCTTAATAGCCACATGTCAAGTGCATAGGAAGTAGTACGTAGGGAGCCCTGTATGTGTGTGAATGAGCAGATACACAAAGGTCCGTACACGATAGCGTGTGCCTTGTACAGTGGGGGCTTTGAAAGGAGGAGGGCAGAGGAAGCCAGCATGTCGTTGCTCTGCTGGAAATGACATCATAGCAGGGGTTAAACAGCCACCGTTTACTTTGATTTATAATCCTCCTCCTCCCTTAGTCTTCCCCATCCTGCCCAAACAGAGGGGTGAGGTGTGACTGCAAGGAAAGGTGGAGAGAGCAACAAAAAAAAAAGGATGGGAATCACGGTGCAAAAATAAGAAAATTAATTCAGACCATGACAAATAAAGCATAACGTCGAGGAATGGGGGTGTTTGTTGTGTTGAAAAGCACACAACCTGTAACCCTCATTTTAGCATTTTCAGGTTTAGAGTATGTTCACACTTGAAGCAACACTTTAAACAGCAAAGACTTGCTGCCCAAGACCAAGCCATTAAAAGCTATTTTTTCATTGTAATATATTTGAGCTCCTCAAAGGTAGAATTTTTACCAGTGACCACTAAAATAAGGCAATGGATTCTTATATGAGTAGTTCCAAATAAAAAGCTTGAATGTGTATTCATGTGGATAGAGAATAGAGAGGGGGACAACACGGGCTGAAACACAGTTGCCTGAGGGCTGACTGAAGTCTAAATTCCTCATGTCTACCATAAAACAGTCCAGCATTCCCTCACTTTTTGACACACGCACACATTCAGTCACACATCGTTCCCTCGCAGCGGTGGCAGCGCTTCACAAAAGAACCATTGAAGGGGCTCTTTCAGTTTAAAGTTGAAGAGTATGTCTAATTTTGGTCCGAGTTCATTAGGCAACACAAAAGTGGGAGCTTGCAGTGAACACGAGGACACTGGCATAGGCAAGTGCTTCATGCCAGGACTGATAAGAGCAGACAGAAACTACAAAGGCGCCTCTCCTTCAGGAAGGAAGGGATGAAGAAGAAATCGAGGGAGGGTGTAGAGAGAAAGAAAGACGTTAGGGAAAAGTCTCGGCCTCAGAAATGTGGCGTGGTTTTAATACATGCGTGTCAGTGTTTCTTAATGTAGGCCAGCAAACCTGCAAAGCACTAATATTCCACTTTAATACTCGCTGTGGTGTAAAAAAAGCAGCGCAAATGTAATCGGGAACAAATTAAATTCTTTAAGTTTGACTACTATATTGAGGGTTTTAAATTGTGTAAAGTGTTTTAAAGTGAAAGCTACATCGGATGCGACTTCATAGAGGATCCACACTCAGGACGGAATGGGGGGGCTAATGAATAGAATAGTGTGTGTGTGTGTGTATATATACATACATATATATACATATTTACATATATATACATACTTACATATATACACATACTTACATATATATACACATACTTACATATATATACACATACTTACATACATACATATACTTACATACATACATATACTTACATACATACATACATACATATATATACACATACATACATATATATATATATATACATACATACATACATACATATATACGCACATATATATACATATATATATATATATGCATACATATATATACACATACATACATATATATATATATATACATACATACATACATACATATATACGCACATATATATACATATATATATATATGCATACATATATACGCACATATATATACATACATACATACACACACATATATATACATATATACACATACGTACATATATATACACACACACACAAACATACATATATATACACACATATATATATACATATATATATACACACACATACATACACACACATACATATATATTCATACATATACACAAAAGTGGGAGTATATGTATATATATATATACACACACACACACGCACACAAGAAAGCATCAACAGCAAATGTAGAAACTCGCTCTAAGCACATTGCCTCAGAATCACCATGATTGTTAAGGAGGGAGTGTCAGGACAACGATCTGGACATGAAATCGGTGGGGTGTTTTTTTTGCTGTAACTGCGTTGCTGTCTTGCTGCCTTAGTGCAGGGCCCTGAGCTGTAAATGGATATTGGAGATTAGATCTTTCATCTGGAGAAAGCCATGTCATTTTCCTATTTTTCTCTCTTATTGATCCTGGCCACTCTCAGCTCCGCATGAACAAACCCTTTCAGACCAAGGAAAAGCCAATCCAGAGCTGTTCGTTTTGCCTACTTACAGATCTCGCTATATTATAAGAGATGTTACATCATCTTTGATAGATAGATGTGTAGATGTATTGAAAGGTGAATACTGCATGTGTCACCCCAGCGGGAATTTGATTCTAAGGCTTCACTCATATAATATCATTCGTTATACACTGCATGTACCAGAAGTCAAGAGTTACAGTTGGGTTTCAATGCAGTCTTGATCTCTGTCTCTCAACACACACGCACAAGCACCCTTATCAACATACATCTACTGCAATATTATCATACACCACGTT